TATATATATATATATATATATATATATATATATATATACTTTTCAGAGTGAGAGCTCAGTGACTTCAACAAATCTGTTTTGTTTGCTATCTTGATGAAATCTGCTTTGTTTGCTTTCTGGATTCTGTCTCATTTCTAACCACATTAAATGGGATAGATAATAATAGCTGTAACACTTACAGTGGTCTATGACTAATGAAGATTCCAGGGGTTAACATGGAGGCATTCATACCTTCTTCCTCCACAGCTTGATTTCATACTCATATCTTTGATAGGAACTATTATATTGATCATAGAGCTAATCTGACCATGTATTTATTCATCATCTCATTTTGAATTTTAACCACCTTATATAACTTGGTTTTTAACTCTAAAATAAGATTTGTTTAAAAATGATTTAATATTCCTTTGGTGAATAATATGAAAGGCTTTAGATATTGAATTAAATACTCCTGTTGTATCATGTTGCTCTTTTCATTTCACATGAAACCACAGACTCAGATTTTTTTTACTTTCAAATTTTTCTGTAATATTTGCTTAGATGGGCACTTGACCTTAAATGTATCAACTTGAATTTGTCTCTGTTGAACTTTACTTTGTCATGAAGGAACATTTTTTTTCACATAAATCTTATGGAGTAGAATGGGTTAGAAACTGAGTATTCAGTATCTTGACCATAAGCAATGAACCATGATATTTTGGGGAATCCTAGGTGTTTAATTTACATATCTCCTCTGAGATGCTCTGAAGTATTCGAAGCAGATGTAAGAACTGAAGATACATGTAGGTCTGAAGACTTTGATTTATGAAGAGAAATCTTGAGTTTACTGCTCTATGCTTGAATTTTGAGGCTGCTAGGATGGATTTAGCCTAAAAACTCTGTGAGGGTACCTACAAAAACATAAGGACTTATACTGAGCAGCAAGAATGTTCAGGAACCTACAATCTGCCTTAAAACAAAATGGAAAGTTACTGAGGAGTTGGTGAGAAGTGTGATATCACAGGGTGCTTCACTCAAGGCAATGTTGAAACAGATGCTCTGAGACATTGTCCTCAAAATAGCAGCATAACACCATAGCTACAACTTATGAGCCCAGATGGACACATTTTATGATCCATTTTACAAAGAGTCATGCTCTAACTGCACTCTTTAATTGCTGACCAGGTCTGAAAGATATTTTCAGAGCTAATGATATCTAGTCGTCTAGGTAAGAGATGGGACCTGGATTCAGTGAGAAGTTTCACTGGAAAGCTATCTCTGGAAGTGTAAACCATCTCCTATATCTAGTTTTTTTTTCCCATTCCTACATGCATCCTCTGGGGGAAAATGGTTTTCCTTTAGAGTCATCTTTACCTAAGGAAAAAGTAGATGTACCTAGACTTCTTTATTTTCATATTCTTCAGAAAGAAACAAGAATATGCTATAAATTCTGGGAATCAGGATCTTTGAATAAGCGTGTAAGACATTTGTCGGAATCTTAGATTCTTACCTAGTCATAGCCTTTCGTTAAAAGAATATGCTTAATTCCATAGATCTTTCTTCAACTCCCATAGAAATGCATGAATTTAATCTCAACTTCCTATAGAAAAAAATGGCTAAATAATTTGCTTAAAAATTACACATGTTAACATTGGTGAACTGGAGTGGGAAACTGATTATGAATAAAACATTAAAAGAAAGCTGATGCACTTAAACATGACATGTGAAATAAAATCCTATTACTCAATTCATGTATAGAAAAAGTGTTTAGCATAATAAAGTGATATCAAAATGATTTTAACATGAAATAATATCTCATATAGACATTGTCATGGAAATATTGAACTTGCCAACACGTGTAGCTAAATTTTCCCTCTGCTCTTATAAAATAGATTCTGTTCTCTCCCTCTGAATGTTAACATGTGTTCTCAATGCAGAGACAAGTCACTCCAAACAGAAGGTGTTCGGCTCTTTTTGGAATGATTCCCAGCACAGCGTCCTCCAGTGCAATCTTCCGCCATAGATGCATGAGCCAGTTCAATAGTGCAATAAACATTCTTCCCTTCCCCCACTTTAGTAGCCCAAATAGTAATTTGTCCAAGAAATTGCCTGCTGGTGCTATAATGTCAAATCCCACTACAACTGGCAGAAAGGTGTTTATGTCTACAGACAAATGAAAGAGCAGGGACACATCTATTAAGACTGCAGAACACTAAACCACTAATTGCTTAAAGTAATTTGGAAACATATTTTAGGAATCATAATACAAACAGGATCATTTCATAAAGAAATTATTAAGTAAATAGGAACAATTTGGATCA